CGAATTATTTCAAAATGGCGACTGTCAACTTTTTTTTTTAAATGGAATGCCAAAACTTTTTTTTTTAAATGGAATGCCAAAATTTTTCTTTTATTATTGAGATCCTAAAAACATTCTTTATTAGAATAGTATTTTGTATTTCTTAAAAATTCATTTCTTTCCCCATCAAAAAGCACACATTTTAATCTAGTAGCGCATGCATGTTTTACACTCGATATTATTTTTGTCTAAATATCAAGTAGCGCTGGACACAAAAGAAACAATTAAACTTTATTTTGTAATAAACATCTTCTACTTATTTATTTATTTGGACAAAAATAACATCGAGTGTAAAACATTCATGCGCTACTAGATTAAAATGTTAGGTTGGTTTTTGATGGGGAAAGAAATGAATTTTTAAGAAAAACTAAATACTATCGTAAAAAGAATGTTTTTAGGATCTCAATAATAAAAAAAAAATTTTGGCAAGGCATTTAAAAAAAAAAAGTTGACAGTCGCCATTTTGAAATAATTCGTCCAATTGAAAATATGATATCACCATCGTGTAGAGAATGTCCTAAAACATATTACTGCCAAATATTTTGAAAGTAGTATCCATAGTGTGACTAAAAAAATAAGGCGCTTACTCTGAATCAGGCTGTAGATATGGATCTTAAATCCATTACCATACTTCTAATTTAGAACCTTAAAACTTATAGGGTTGAGTAAAGAACTACGCTCTGGAGGAACGTATACAGTGAATTTCACCTAAAATGCAATATACAAAAATATATTTCCATGGAAACCAGAGCGTGCCTATTTACTTTGTCCCACATAAAATGCAACATGTCTGAATGTTTCTAGTTCTAGGTTTAATGGTAGTTCTAGTGACAGTGGTAGGTAGCGCTAGTTAACATAAGATATCACTATGTTGCATATTTTTATTGAACTAAAACTAGCGGCTAAATCTGAATGTTTCTAGTTCCCGGTTTAGTGTTAGTTCTAGTATTGCACTATCACTACAATTAACACACGATCTAGTACTAGAATCATTCGGGTTTAGTCGTTTTGAGAGACTGCGGCTAAATCCGAATGTTTCTGGTTCTAGTGCAATACTAGAACTAACATAAGACCTAATAGATAAATATGCTATTAGGTCATGTTCCTATTTGAACCACGACTTGCATTGTTGTTGAAAGTGTGGATCTTATTCTTTTGGGTGGAGAAGATATATTTCTGTTCAAATTGTTCTTTAGAACTATCAATTTCCAAAATTTATTATTGCTGATACACTGTTGGAAATAATTCACGAGCACACCCTATATAATCTGAACGCGTGAAGATAAATCCATAATATTTGCGGAGCACAAAGCTTTACTGTAGACAAGTTTATTCAACGAGTTTCAAATTGTTCCGTCGCGGCATTGTTGACTGAGCCGCCCTTCCAAGTGGAACATTCCGTCGCTATGGAGATCACAGTGGATGGAAAATACCGGTCGTTTTTAGTGTGGGTTGAGAGACCACATTGTTATCGTACTCTGTGCGCAATGGATGGGCGATCGCGTTACTTAAGCGAGTTTGAGCGAGGAATGTTTGTGGGTATGCACATTGAGGGTGTATCGTTCCGTGAAATTGCGCGTCGTCTCGACCGGTCGTTATCGGCAGTGCAAAGGGCATAGCGAGAATGGTCTGAGGTAGGACATAGGATCGCACTCTTGTGCTCACCGCTTTATCATCGTGTGCGTCCTCCTCAAGGCAACTTGGAGCTGTTTGGCCACCGGCAGGGGAAGGCGCACTCACTACGCGAACTGTACGACGGTGTTTGGTAGATAGTGGGCTGCGCGCGCGTCGTGCGATATAGCGCATTCCAGTAACACTCGAGCACCGCAGCATACGTCACGAGTGGGTCGACGCTAGGCATTAGTGGGTTGCCGAGTAGAGGAACATTTTGTTTTCCGACGAATCAAGATTCGAATTGAGCACCGGTGATGAGCGAATTTTAGTTCATCGTGGTGATCGTCTACTCGAGTAGTGCGTGCAAGAACGCCCTATCTACCGACAACCCACCATTATGGTGTGGGGTGCTATTACACATGGTGGACGTACACGTCTGCTGCGAGTATAGCAGACCATGACGGGTCAACGATACGTAGATGAGGTGCTACGGTCCGTTGTGCTTCCCTACGTTCAGCGGCGCCCAGGTCTGCTATACATGCACGACAACGTCCGAACGCACATCGGGCGTATTGTACAGACCTTTGTGGAAGAGCACCGTATACGAATGTTTCCTAGGCCAGCTCGTTTTCCGGATCTGAATCTAATCGAACATGTTTGGGACATGACTGATCGGAGACTTCAACGTTATCCGGCTTCCGCGGCTAACGTTGAGGAGCTATGGAGGCGAGTTGAGGTGGCATGGTTGGCCATCCCTCTCGCTACAATACAGAGACTTATAGACTCCATGACACGTCGTGTAGCAATGGTACGCGAAGCTCACGGGGGATACTCTCGCTATTGATGTTTAGTCAAGTCTGTCAAGTCTGTCAATGTCAAGTCTAAATAACCACCAATAGCCCGTGCTCCAACACGCTCTAAAATAAATCGAAGTTTTTACCCGTTTGTAAGTGTATTTAAATAGTAAAGTAGTGCTCACCAATAGAGAAATCGTTAGTGCTCTCTATAAGTTTGTAAAACACTAATTAGAAGTGTCGTGAAATAGATCTACAGGCCCTGATGGTCGTAAATCTGTAAGTACATTATACATACGGGCGTTTTTCGCTAGACACTACTTCGGGTAAACCGGTGTCCTCTTATAAAAAAGTGAACAAAAATAATATAAAATAAGCTGTTATTTTTCGACTTTAAAAATGTCAAACGACAAAAACGAAACTCAATCTAAAATTGAACATTATAAATTAATTGAACTAAAAGAAGCACTTTGCAAGTTAGGATTGGATGAGTATGGAAGTAAGGTTGAGTTAAAAAATAGGTTAATTAATGCACTGTCTGTAAGTACTGACGAAAATATAGACAATTTAGAAAATTTGGACGACTCAACAGATAGTATATGTACGGTAGTTCCAAATAAAACAAAACACACCAAAGTTGCCGCCTTAAACAATAAAACTATATTTAGAATGCTCAACAAAATTAAAGAGTTAGAAAACCAAATCCTCAACCTAAGAGTACAAATTACAAAAATGAATAAACGGAAAAATCAATCAAAGTTTAAGTGCTGTTTCAATAAAACTCGCGAGTCGGTACAATCAACAGTGAAAAATAACTCGGCGGTCGAAGATCCATCGAACAAGGCGTCAACCAATACCAGACGGCAACAGCTGCCTTATCATGGCACGGAGGTACGGAAGTCGGTACGAAACATAGACGAAACTAGGGTACCAAATTCGCCCTGCATTGCCCCAGAAGATAGCAAAGGGAGAATATTGCTACTAAGTGACAGCCACGGTCGCGATGGTGGCAGGATTCTAGCGCAATATTTAAACAACGATATAAATAAAAAATACGAAGTTTGCAATATATGCAAACCAAACGCGACGATGGCAAATGTAATACAAGATGTTCAATTGTTATGTGAAAATTTTAATAGGAATGATTATATTATAATTATGGCAGGCTGCAATGATATTCTTCAAGAGAAACAGCTTTCTGGAAGTCAATGGGTTTCTTAAAACATTAGACAAAACTAGGCATGGCCTTCATTTAAATATGAGAGGGAAATGGAAATTGTATGATTTTGTGGCTAAACGGGTATTATTGATATCTGGTTCGGGTTTAAATTTTCACCCACACCGCGTAGAGAACAATTTGTAGCAAAAAACCCTATATTAAATATACTGTACACAAATATTCGAGGCATTGGTAGTGGAATGGGGATGCTTGAGGGATACATTCAAGATAAAGATTTTAAAGTTTTGTGCCTTACTGAGACTTGGCTAAAAGAGTATGAAAGCGTAAATGTTTCAATATCTGCGCTGTATCCTTGTTCTTGTTACAGTCGTCGGGTGCATATTCGTGGAGGTTGCATGATATTAGTGAGAAATGATATACCTTGTAAGAATCTTGATAGGCTGGTCTGCACTTCAATTGAAAAACATTTTGAAATTAGTGGAATAAAAATTCTAGACCTAGATATAGTCATACTTACTATATACAGATCGCCAAGTGGTGATATTGATGTTTTTGTTGAGAAGTTAGACCATGCATTGTCTTTCTTTCCTGCTTCTCAGAGAGTCATCGTTACGGGTGACTTTAATGTATGGTTTGGTACTGATAGGCACGATACGTGCTTGGTACTTGAATGTTTCAATACTTTCGGCTTTATCCCATTGATTGAAACGGCAACACGTGGAAAAAATTGTATAGATAACATTTTTATTAATTTTGACTCCACATGTGTTGAAGCAGTAGTAAGTGACCAGTTGTCTGATCACAACAGTATCGCGGTGAGGTGCACACTAAATCAGGAGTCACGGTTGAATAAAATTACTTGTAGGCCTATGACGGAGAGAGGCAAATTTGTCTTTTATGAATCTGTGTCAAATATTGACTGGGACTTTGTTTCCTACAATGACTTGGATATTGACAAAAAGTTTCAAATGTTTTTGAGCGCTTTTCCCGTGAAACAGGTTGGTGAGAAACAGCTGGGGTCCTCTGATAACTGGTTTACTCCTGAACTATGTATGCTACGCAATAGGCTAAATGTTCTCAATACAATTTATAAAGTAATGAATACTAACGAAGTAAAAAATATGAGAAATATAGTCCATGCTCAATATAATAAAAAAATTAAAGTAGCTAAAATAGAATATAATGATAGACTTATCAAGGAGTCTCAATGTTCAGGGAAAATAATGTGGCAAATTATTAATCAAAATCCGCTAGACACACGCGTTCAGATTATACAGGGTGTGCTCGTGAATTATTTCCAACAGTGTATTATTGCTTCGTAACCTGAAACAAAAAACAATCAATTAAATTAATAAATTTACACTTTTTTTTAGGTAACCATGATAAAAGTGAAGACGGTGAAGATCTTTGGACATTATGGGGAAAAATGGTTACCGATTGGGATTCATTTTGGAAAAAATCTAACGCCCAAGTACGTGAGCTATGCAGAAAAGGTATTCCAACGCATTTTCGTGGGATCGCCTGGCAATTATTATGTTCCGCAACAGACGCCCAAGAGAAAAAGCTTTACGCCGAATACATCAAAACCAAATCACCGTGCGAAAAAGTTATACGACGAGATATTGCTCGAACTTACCCCGAGCACGATTTTTTCAAAGAAAAAGACGGTCTCGGACAAGAATCTTTATTCAATGTCATCAAAGCCTATTCTTTACATGACAGAGAAGTCGGGTATTGTCAAGGTTCGGGATTTATCGTTGGATTACTTCTTATGCAGGTAAATATTAAAAAAAAATGAATTAAACAATTTTGATTAATTATTTTAATTAATTAATTAAGATGCCTGAAGAAGAAGCATTCGCAGTATTAGTAAAAATAATGGAAGATTATCGAATGCGAGACATGTTTAAACCAACAATGGCCGAACTCGGTCTTTGCATGTTCCAACTTGAAAACCTCGTCGCCGAACTCCTACCGGATCTCAATCAACATTTCCAATCACAAAGTTTTCAAACAACAATGTACGCTTCCAGCTGGTTCCTCACACTGTTCACGACAGCCTTAACTTTACCCATGGCATGTCGTGTTATGGATGTATTTCTTTCCGAAGGTATGGAAATTATTTTCAAATTAGCTTTAGCTATGTTAACTTTAGGAAAAGAAGAATTGATGACGATGGATATGGAAGGAATGTTAAAAGTAAGTAACTCAAACTACACCAATATAAACAATCTTATTTTTATGATTATTAATTTTTAGTATTTTCAAAAAGAACTTCCAACAAAAGCCGAATCTGATCCAGAAGCTCTCATGCAACTTGCTTACTCAATGAAATACAACGCGAAAAAAATGAAAAAACTCGAAAAAGAATACAGCGTAATAAAAGCAAAAGAACAAGAAGAAATGGTCGAATTAAAACGATTAAGAACTGAAAATAAACAACTGCGTCATCGCTGCGAAATGCTTGAAGAAGAAAGCAAAGCTTTGGCGGATCGTTTAGTTCGTGGGCAAGTAAGTCGGGCTGAAGAAGAGGAAACAACGTTTTACGTTCAACGAGAACTCGACGTTTTAAGACAAACCCATTTAGAAACAACTCACCAACTTGCTTTAGCAAATGAAAAAATTAAATCTTTATCTTTGATGATGGAAGAAACACACACTTCAAGACAAAGCTCGATGGAAGAGATTTCAATGAAACAAGAACAACTACAACAACGCGAAGAAATGATTGTATGTCTTCAAGATCAATTAGTTAAAGTTCGATTACGCGAAGCTGAAAATGACGCGTTAATTCGAGATTTAAGATCGAGAATACACGAATTGGAGGAAGATAAAAAGACTTTAAGGGAAATTACTCCGGATAATAGCGTGGCGCATTTGCAAGAAGAATTAATTGCCGTGAAATTAAGAGAAGCTGAAGCTAATTTATCGTTGAAAGATTTAAGACAACGAGTTTCCGAGTTAAGTGCTCAATGGCAGAGACACTTACAAGTAAGTAAAAAAGTATGTATATTTTTTTCATTATTCATTTTTCATTATTTGCATCACATTAAAATAAATTTTATTTAATTAGAATTATTTTTATTATCCCTTTTTTCTTTTTAGGAGCATAAACAAGAATTATCATCATCCGGAGAACACAGCACGCCAAAAAAATTATTATTCTGGGAAAATCGCAGTAACGAAACTCAAAAACTCGAAGAGGAATTAATGACAACACGAATCCGCGAAATGGAGACTTTAACGGAAGTTAAAGAGTTAAGACTTAAGGTAATAAGAAAATTAATTAATTAAAAAAAAATAAATTTATTTCGAGTCAATTTTTTTTATGTTAAGGTTATGGAATTAGAAACTCAGGTACAAGTTGGTACGAATCAATTAAGACGTCAAGATGACGAAATCAAAAAATTACGCGAATCTTTGGAGTTTGGGGAATTGCGCGATCGAGAGGCGGCCACTAAATTATTGGACGAACAGCGACGATATAACGATTTGGAAAGTAAGATGAAAGATGAACTGATGAACGCGAAAATACGCGATGCGGAGAAAACTCAAACTGTTGCTGAATTAACTCAGAAAATAAGCCAATTAGAATTAAAGGTAAAAATATCAATAATAAGAAATTTAAAGTACTAAAATTAACAGTATTATTACTAGAAACTATTATTAAAAACTGTCACTAGAACTAACAGTAAATCTAATACTAGAAACAGGTTAGCATAAAATATCACTATGTTGCATATTTTTGTTGAACTAAAACTAGAACTAACACTAGACAGAGAACTATACAGATTTATTGCACGTCTTTTAACACTTTGCCGTTCGCACGTTTCGCAAAAATTTATTCGCTTGGCGCCGGCAAAAATTCAGATTACTTATCCGTGCAAAAAGTCAAGGCCCCTCACTTTAGAGATCGATATCTTCGCAACCGATCGATGAAAAAAATTGCGACAAAGTTTGTTATAATCACTGAACATTTCTACGTAACATATTATGTTAATTTGAAAATTTTCGGATCGATTTTTGAGTGTACCGGCTACTTTGTCAACTTTGCGATTTTTTTTCTCGAAAACTATTTGACGAAAAAATTTCAAATTTGAACTGGTGGTAAACCGATGTGGTCTTAATGTGGGGCATATTTTATTTTTTCGATATTCCATATAGTTTCGCGGAAAATCGCGGTTTAGTAGGATGCGGTTATTTCGAAAACGACCTCGCAGATTTCAACGCGGTTTTTACCAAAATATGTCAAATAATGTCGATTGTCGGATTCCGTTAGTAGTTTTTCAAAATTAAAGCTCCCTAATTTTTTTAAGAGCGATTTATAGTTTATTTCTGTTTCTCTTTAATTTGTAATTCCATTAAGACCCACTTTTACCACCTCCTGATAAATTTATCCGATAGATAAATCCAGTTCTCAGCCAATGAGAGCGCTTAAAACCGCCGCAACCATGGCAACTATCCTCTAGATAGGTTATCAGGAGGATGGTAAAAGTGGGCCTAAATCTACTAATAATATATAATATACAGGTGTATCTGAATGACATGCCCAAACTTCAGGGGGTGATTCTTTAGGCAATTTTAAGGGTACTTTGATATATAAACCATGGGCGACTTGGGCTCCCCTAAGGAGCTACACCCCTCCAAAAATGGCGGAAAATTTTGGTTTAATTTTTTTTCTCAAAAACCATAAACGCTAAGAAAACGAAATTTGGGAAATATGTTTAACTGGTAGTAGGGCACGTTTTCACCCTATTTGTACTTTCAACATATCCTTCTAAACTACTAAACGTAACCACCCCCTTTACATTTTTGCTAAAATTTTTTTATGCAGATGGTAAATACATTAAAAAAAAAATTACATAGGTAGATGTAATTCTCTCTAAAAACTCGAACTAACACAAAACCTAGAACTAGAATCATTCGGGTTTAGCCGTCTTTAGAGACGTGCGGCTAAACCCAAATGTTTCTAGTTCTAAGTTTAATATTAGTTCTAGTGACAGTGGTAGATAGCGCTAGCTAGCGTAAGATATCACTATGTTGCATATTTTTATTGCACTAAACCCAAATTTTTCTAGTTCTAGGTCTGGTGTTAGTTCTAATTTTACACTAGTACTATCACTAGAACTAACACAAGACCTACAACTACAATCATTCGGGTTTAGCCGTCTTTAGAGACGTGCAGTTAAACCCGAATGTTTCTAGTTCTCAGTCTAGTTCAAGTTTTACACTAGCACTATTACTAAACCTAACACAAAACCTAGAACTAGCATCATACGGGTTTAGCCATCTTAAAAGACGTGCGGCTAAACCCGATACTTTCTAGTTCTAGGTCTAGTGTTAGTTCTAGTTTTACACTAGCACTATCATTGGAACTAACACAAGACCTAGAACTAGCATCATATTCGAGCTTAGCTGTCTTAAAAGACGTGTAGCTAAATCCGAATGTTTCTAGTTCTCGGTCTAATGTTAGTTCTAGTATTGTACTAGCACTATCACTAGAACTAACACTATCGCTAACACTAGAACTATTATCGGATTCAAAAGTTTTTCCCCTCACTTTGAACGCGAATAACAAAAAAACTACTCCGTAGAAAAAATCGAGACCACCTTTGTTGGACGCGAAATTTAATTGTTTATAATGTGTGGTGATTTCAAATTTTTTCTCCCACTCGTATAGCAATTGTCACAGGTATAATGAAAAAATGTACGCGATTTCGGACGATCGGCGAAGAAGGTCGACTTTGTGATTTTTTTACACGGGAACGGTTCATCGAAAAAAATCTAAATTTCGACCACACATTGCCTAAAGTGTACTAAACATGCCAGTGTTTTTATTTTTTGATTTTTCTGACCCATTAGAAGTAGTGATATCTCGATAACGCGTTATCGTATGAGATTGAGGTTAACATCATTCTGACCGCCTGATAAAATTGAATAAAACCCTAACCCTCATTGTACATGAAGTACTCAATGTGATTTTATAATGACAGTTAAATGAATCCGCGCGAATCTATTTCCGCGGGTGTGAGGAGCGGAGGAAGGTTACGCCGGCCGGGCCTCTTCGGCATTATGTGGCGGGGAGGCATCTTCAAACGTATAGGATAGGAACGGCTTAAGCGCAGTGTACGAATTTTTGTTATTTTTTGAATTTACTTTTCTAATAATTTTTTAAATCAAAACAGCATTTTACAGTTTTTGTAACCTTTTATTACAATTATAATTTACAATCAATTGTAACCTTGAATGAGGAACTGTGAAACCTTGAATGTTCAAAATAATAAAATCCTTTTGAAAAACCATAATAATAATAAACCACTACTATTGCTACTAAACCACTATATTCTACTATACAGGTAATTCAAATTCGACCCCCACCATTGGGACCTCAGAAACCATAAGAGATACAGAAATGGTTAAATGGGGGCAAAATTGTGTATCTTAGCGCATCATTTTTCAACTAAGTTTTTGGATCTAGCCGTTTTAGTTTTTAAAATATGGCCGAAAAACAAAAAAAATAACTTTTTCGTTTTTTCGTGAATCTGAAAAAGCATTCTTAAGGCAACTTTTTATGAAAAATGTCATGTCACAACTAGAAATTTTCTCCGACGTTTCGTTTTCGTGAAACTATGATCAGGTTTATTCTTTTTATGAATAATTCAATGTTTTTTTAAATGAAATACATTGTGTGACATATCATTGAAATCAGAATTAATTATGCTATTTTTTGGTGTGAAAATCAAATATAGCGTTCATAAGAAAAAATAAACTTGATGATAGTTTCACGAAAACGAAACGTCGGAGAAAATTTCTAGTTTTGTCATGATATTTGTCATAAAGAGTTGCCTTAAGAATGTTTTTTCAATTTAAAAAAAGCGAAAAAGCAATTTTTTTGTTTTTCGGCCATATTTTAAAAACTAAAACGGCTAGATCCAAAATCTTAGTTGAAAGATGATGAGCTCTAAGATACGCAACTTTGCCCCCATTTAACCATTTCTGTACATTTTCTCATTATACCTGTAACAATTCCTATACGAGTGGGAGAAAAAATTTGAAATTATTACACATAATAAAGAATTAAATTTCGCGTCCAACAAAGGTGGTCTCGATTTTTTCTACGGAGTAGTTTTTTTGTTATTCGCGTTCAAAGTGAGGGGCAAAAACTTTTGAATCCGATAATAGAATCATTCGGTTTTAGCCGTCTCAAAAGACGCATAGCTATATAAATCCGAATGTTTCTAGTTGTAGATTTGATGTTAGTTCTAGTGATGGTGCTAGTGTTAGCTCTAATTGCTATAACTAACACTTGCACTATCATCACAACTAACACTAGACCTAGAATTAGAAACATTTGGGTTTAGTCATGCGTCTGAAGACGAATATACTCAATAAAAAAATTTGAATTTATAATAATTTTTTAGAACGAAGAAATTGCTACTGAAGGCGAATTAAGAAATCAAGGGGTTGAAGATAGTGATAAAGTACGGGATTTACAAGATAAAATAGCTGATTTACAAGCGGAGGTAAGTTAAAAATTATTTTTTTTTTATTATAAAAGATAATAAGTAAAAGAAGTGATACAAAGAAGACATTTTGAATAAAAACATTTATACAAAAAGATGTGCTTTATCTTGATAATTGTGATTTTGTGCTTCATGTTGATAATCAATTAATACTAACAAAGAATGAGTAATTATTGAAGTTTACCAGTTATTATTATGATTGTTACAAGATTGCGGTGCAATTTGAATTTGTTCATAAAAGTTTTTTAAACCCTGGCTGGTTTTCATTTCTCTGTTTCTATGTGTATCCGAATTGATTATCTGAGAGGAGTTTTTGTTCCTACTCCATGATTTTATCCAATAATCTCAAAGAATTAAGTTAAAATAAGTTAACAGACCACTTCAACTATCTTCTGAAACAGCGAAAATACTCGATCACAGTAAAAAGCTGCCAACTATATTCTGATAACAATTCTGGCAGAAACTCTAATTTCTTTTAATAGATATGAAAAATAAAGACACATCAACACATTTGACTCAGGATCGTTACATACGTCGTCCGATCTTCTATGGTCGATCAATACCAAACATTTAACGTCAATCTAACCATTCTGGGAAAATCCAAGTTAAGAATTAGTTGTATCAAGGTTATTCCACGTTGTCCCTATGGCGAATCATGGTTGTACTTGACAACGTACTGCTGAAGTTTCAAAGAGGCTCGTATACAAAAAGAAGACACATTCTCAGAATTATTTTCAGATAATTCTATATAATAATTTCACATGGGTGGTGTTGGGAGATCATCGCAATAGACATCATATTATTATCAATCTTGATAGTAGTGATTATAGACTTGTTCAGTCAACAACTCAACACCATACACGGCGTCAGATTTCTTGACAAAGCATGTTTCCGCCATTCGCGTACCTCAGAAGGCTATTGAAGTGCAGTGGCTCAGCATTTGTGTCCATACATAAATCTTACTAAATAGCAATTTTAAAGATCTTGAGAAAAAGTGCATTCAATTGTAACTACAGGGGTAAAACGAAAATGAGTGAAACAAACTAATACTGATAGCGTTGCTCAGAAATGCCTCAATATAATCCATAAAGTAAAACAACAACTCAAATTCATTATTTTTTTTCTACAAAATGTTGGTGTCTTCTTTCGATTTGTACGAAAACTGAAATTACAATATACAGGGTGATTTATAACATACGGAGCAGATTAAAAGAGCAAGTACTAGGGGCCAAACTGAAGATATTTTCTTAATAATGTTTTGACTACAACGTAATAATCACAAAGATATAGAGCATTAAAGTCGAATTAATTGCCCAGCATTTCTTACGATATATGGTATTACACTACGTTTAAATTCAAACTGCGAATATTTCGGGGTTACTTAAGCAATGCCTGATTAGCACCAATAATAAAATCTTTGTAATATGGCAGTTACGGCTACTTAAAAATTTGTTAAATCACTCAAAAACTGGTGTTTGTTTTTTGAGAACCGCTGATACCATGTTTTTATTGCTGTCAATCCAGTTGACTTGGTTACCTAGCAACGGACATGTCATTTAATTTTAATAATCAATGTCATTTAACGTCAAAATTAGAATTTTTACTAATCAAAAAATACAATGGTAATGTACAGTAACGAAGAATACGTAGATATGCTTATTATTTATGGAGCTGCTGGAGAAAACGCTGCACACGCAAGACGTTTGTATTTAGAACGATATCCAAATCGACAGATCCCTTCTGAAAACACTTTTCTTCGGTTAATCCAGCGGGGAAGAGAGACAGGAAATTTGCAACCTAAGAAAGGTTTTGGTGGCGGTAGACTAAACAGACACAGGAGTGAATGTGGAAGAAATTCTAGAAATTATGGAAGCGGATCGAAGCACGAGTACTCGTCAAATTTTGTCACCAACTCGAGGTATCCCAGAATTTTATTTGGCGTACGTTGAAATGTAACGGTTTTACACCCCTATCATTTTCAAAAAGTGCAAGGACTCCCGCTGACTATCCTTTGCGGTTGCAATTTTGCGAGTGGCTACTAAATCGTACCAACAGAGAAGCAGATTTTGCAGACAGTATACTGGTAACGGATGAATGCTGTTTTACCAGAAATGGTGTTCAAAATGTTCACAATTCCCATGTGTGGTCGGACGAAAATCCACACGTTATTCGTCAAGACTCTTTTCAACAACGATTCAGAGTGAATCTATGGGCGGGAATTGTGAACAATACGTTAATAGGACCTTTCGAATTACCAGGAACTCTTAATGGAACTTCTTATTTACAGTTTTTACAAGAAAATCTGCCAGTACCCCTGGAAGATATTCCGCTACTTATGCGACGTGAGATGTGGTTTATGCACGACGGTTGTCCTCGATAATGCTTTTCGGCAAAAATGGATTGGTCGAGGTGGACCTATTCCATGGCCACCACGTAGTCCCGATCTTAACCCATTGGACTTTTTTTATGGGGATTCATGAAGGATAGAGTATATGCCACCGAGGTTAATACAATCGACGAACTACGACATCGCATCACTGCCGCTACAGAGGACATACGTCCACGATTTTCACAATTATCGTTAAATTGGATTCGTCGTGCGCAGTTGTGCGTCGAAATGCAAGGACAGCACTTTGAACATATGTTATAAAGAGATTATTATTATTATTATGTTATTTTCTTGTTTTAGAGATTTTGTAATTTTGCATTTAAAACATTATTATTATCCGTTTCATAAATTAACATCTATTATTTCTTTTCATAAATTACGTATTAAAACTAAACAATTAAATTGTCTACTTTGACAGCTCCTTCAAAAATGAGGATGGCGTTGACAAGTATTTTAATTGTTCTTTAGTGAATATCAGCGGTTCTCAAAAGTTGACGCTAACTTATTTAAAAAATTAACATGTGATATCTATGTAACTATTAAGATTTTAACAAAACATTATTAAGAAAATCTCTTCAGTTTGACCTCAAGTACCTACCCATTTAGTCTCCTCCGTATGTTATAAATCACCCTGTATTTATTATAAATCAATAAGTAACTCATATATTATATAATTGGAAAACTTCAAAAATTCCTCAAAAACTATATCTAAACCTTGGTTATTAAAAGCACTTTGTACATAAATATTTATTCCACAAAAAAGAGCCTATCTAATATTAATCATTTTCACTAGAACGCTTCTTTTTTGGAAACACACTCTTAAAACTAAACTAACACACAACTAAAAATAAATTTTTATTTTTTGTTGATGAGTAAAATTCTTCTAACAAAGCAATACTAAATGGAAGTTGAATTTTATTCAAACATTAAGACACTATTCTTTCGATTTGTCACCTAACAGTTTTTGTATAGTTTCCAACGCCAATCACAAGTCCGGACACTGAGCCGTGGAAATGGCTCGAGTAAGTTCTCCCATAAAACTAACCTCTAAGAAAAAAATTTTTTTTTTTAATTTTATTTTTGTACATAGTAATTTTTATCTTGTATTTGCATCCTAGATTCACGCATTTTTTTGTTGGTATACTTTTATTTTTGTATCTTCTATTTTTAGTCTTGTACAAAGTAATTTTTTTATTTTAAATAATTAGATATTGCGTAGCTAAAAAATCACTTTAAAAGTAGGTAGACATCGTATTATTCAATGTTTTAAAAGTTTAACAGTTTTTTTCTGAAGGAAGAATCAAAATATATTTTTTTATAGGTCATGAGATTAGAATCTCGTAATAACGGCGGTCGATTAAACTCGGTTCGTTCGCCATCGATCGATAGCAACGATGAAGACATTAATAGGTTTAGATTGGACGACCCCTCGTTAAGGTTAACGTTAAACGAATCTCCGAGTCCGCCACATCAACACACCGCTACAGAATTCCTTACAAATTCAAATTCGGAGATTAATTTTACAACAGCAACTAATAATAACGCGTGTAAATCTATTGAGTCACTCGAATCAACACCACAACGACCAACGACGCAACTTCCGAATCACGTTTGACAAAACGACCGACTAAATGATTATATTTATTTTAATAGACCATATCGTATTTGATAATTAATAGAATTTTTGCCAACAATCTCCCCAAAAAATTAAACCAAGAAAAGATATTTGTACTTTATAAAAAACAAGTTTTAGAGTCCCTTAAAATATCTTGCAAACTCTAGAGTGACGTAAAAAATTTAATAATATAATTTATTTATTATTATGTTTGGATGATGTTATTATCTAATTATTTATTTTGGTGGTACTTAATTTTTTTTCAATGATATAAATTAAAAAAAAATGTAAAACTAGTGAGAGGTACAACACCATGAATTTAGTGTTCACCTACCCCTTTAAAAACTTTAAAAAACAAAAAAAAAAAAATGAAAAACTTGTGTCTGTGTTAAAAATGATATATTAATAACTAATAATAATAATGTGAGTAATGTAAACGGTAAAAAGGCGTAGATTTTTGAATTTTAATTGGAAATTAACGTATACATTTCCCGTTCATTACATTAAAAAGAATTTAAAGAAGGTCTTTAATGATATTTATATCAAATCCGTCTCTCGTATTTATTTTGTGATGTTAATTTTCTTCCACTTTATTCATTAATTAATATATGTTAAAACTTTAGTATATAGGCTGTGTATTCATTTATTTCGTGTGATTAATAATGATTTGATAACAAAAATACTAATTGTTGTTAAGATGGAAATGAGATAAAACAAGAATTAAATAAAGAATGTGGATCTTATTGAGGACTTGGTATATTAATTAGGCCTTTGCCAATAGTTGGTTAAAGGAAAAAGAAAATTACTGATAGCAGCTCAGCTTGCGTTATCGCTGTATCCACGATCGAAAAACCGATAGTCTCTTTGCTGACTATTCGCTCTTTTATGTACAGGGTTTTCCAATAAAGAGGTGTTATTTTGATATTCAAAGAAAAATGCCATTTTTTAGTATAAATGATCGGATATTTATTTCATTATAAAGAAGAAGGTATGCCGTTAATAGTGGAAAATAACATTAGGCAAATGACCACCACGACCACGCTTACAGGACAATATCCTTTCCATGAAATTTTCCATAACCAAATTGCAAAGTGGCTGCCCTATGTCCTCAATAGCCTTACGAATTCCATCTTTGAGGTCTTGAATCGACGCTGGGCTGTTGGCGTACACCTTCTCTTTCACGTGGCCCCAAAGGAAGAAGTCGAAAGGTGTTAAATCACAAGATCTCGGTGGCCAATTGTGACCTCTTCGAGAGATAACACAGTCCAGGAAACTTTTCTCGTAAATGGTTTCGTTGCTTGTGTGGCACGTAGCACCGTCTTGTTGAAAATAAACGTTGTCCACATCAATACCATCCAATTCCGGCCATAAAAAATCATTAATCATCTTTCGATAGCGCAATCCATTCACCGTAACTGTTGCTCCAGCCTCATTTTCGAAAAAGTAAAGTCCAATAACTCCGCCGGACCATAAACCGCACCAAACAGTCGCACGTTGAGGATAGAGAGGATTTTCAACAATAACTCTTGGGTTTTCCGAGCCCCAGATGCGACAATTTTGCTTGTTGACGAAGCCGCCGAGGTGGAAATGGGCCTCATCACTCAAGATGATTTTTCGATGGAATTCCGGATCATTTTCATGCATTTCAACGACCCAATCAGCAAAGACACGACGTTGTTGATGATCGGACGGCTTGAGTTCTTGTGTTAACTGAAGTTTATAAGCCTTAAGACCCAAATCTTTATGCAAAATACGGTGTAATGACGTTTGTGGAATGCTTAATTCCAAAGAACGACGAGGAATGGCAGCTCGAATTTTTCCACCAATTTCTGTATTGCAGTCCGACAAGGTGCTTCACGACGACCCAAAAATGTTCGAGTTTTACGAACCGTCTCTGCCAAAATTTCACCATTTTTATAGTGAATTTTAATAATTTCAATGCGTTGTTGAAGCGTGTATCGTTCCATTTTTATTAATGGCGTACTTTCTACTTGTCAAATGTCAAAAAATGACAGCTTCAAAAGTGACATCTACCGAAATAACGGGCTATTCAAAATAACACCTCTTATTGGAAAACCCCTTACAATAATAAGACCTAAAAGCGTTATGCTCAGTAAATAATTACTACCACTGGCGCCGACTTTTTAATATTTAATGGGGGGCTGAACTTTTTCGAATGATACACCTTTTTACAATACAATTGTACACTTTCACAATTTTCCGGGGAGGCTCAATCCCCGTAGTCGGCGCCGATGATTACAACGAATAATAAACCTTATAACCGATATATTTTAGAAGGCAATTAACACTAAATTGGGTGTTAAACTAGAAACACTTAACTCAAAACTTTGTTGGCTTCAAATAAAGATATTGAAACAACAGACTTCATGATTCAAGTGGGAAGGTTATGGAACAGTTTTTGAAAAGCTTATCTCGCCCTCAAACACCTCCGTTTGTTTTTCTCAATCATTTTCAAGCAAATGACACGTTTCTCTTTAAATTAAAATCAAACAAGCCAAATAGTATAAATTAAATAACATAAAATAAAAAGATTTCAATTTCAACGTCTTGGTTAGAAACCGTTTCTTCAATAATTTATGTTGGAGACTGAGATATTGGCTCATAAAGGGTTAGAGGGACTTGTTATATGCTGTGGACTTTTATTTTTACTAAGGTCCATTACTACCATCTTCTGGTTAAGCTATCTAAGGGATTATTACCACGGTTACGGCTATTTTAAGCGCTCTGATTGGCTAGTAGATGGGTTTATCTATAAGATATTTTTATCTAAAAGATGGACCTAAGTATAATAAACTATCTATGAGATAGTTGCTATTGTTACAGCTATTTGAAGCGTTCTCTTTGGCTAAGAGTAATATTTATAAAGATTGTACTTACTCAGGGTTGATGCAGTCTTCATTTAATTCCTACCTAAAACAAAATGAGTTTAAAATTATTTCTTGAGTCAATTATAAACTATTTGATTGCTTATTAATATTAAATAAGTGATTTTTGAATCCAATAAAAATCATTGTTGATCACACGAAATTCCTTCATTTTCCATTTATTTTTTTAATTAATTAATTTTTTAAAGTTTACCTTTGTTATGCTTACGATAAATATTCTTAAAACACAGCTTTTTTAATTATTATTTCCACAATAACACACAATAAAAGATATTAAAAACGATTTAAAATCTCTAAACAACAAATGATAAATAATTGTTTCGTTTGTATTTAGGTTGCTAAGGAGATTTCTTTTAAATGTCAAAAATGGGATATTATACAGGGTGTGTCAAAATTATATTATCACTCACTAAATAATGAAATAATTTTGACTTATCCTTATTATTAATATTTAATTATTTATGTGTACTTGTTCCGTGCCTATTTTAATGTAAATACCTAATTTATTTGTTATTAATCATTTTAAGTGCAATCTGTTTATTTTTTCCTTTTTAAAGCATTTATTTCTACTTATTTTATAATTTACAATTACATTCCTACTTAATTTTCTTTTTTTCCTTTCAAAAATAAAATTTTAAATCAATACTCTACTCTAAAATTAAAAAAAGCATTTTAATATAAAAATTATTTACAATTTGTAACATTTTCAGTATTCGGTTATTTTGTGTATATTTTTTAAAGGTAAATAAATAAAACCTTCAATAGAATTAAATATATTTTTATTTCTAATTATAACAAAACATATTTTAACAAAAATAAATTAAGCAACTTCTTGTTTTGATTCAAAAAACTCCTTCCTATGCACAATAGGAATATGTTTTTGTCTAATTAAGTAATTTTCGTTTCCTAAAACACTATAATACGATTCACCGGATTTTCCCAATAATTTCCTTAAAGCTCTATTTCGTAACAACATTTTTTCATAAAACTCTTTCCCCCCCTCAACAAAAATAGGGTCCTTTTCTTTCAAAAATTTATCAATCTTCATTTCATAATGCACTTGCGTAAAATCTTTAGCTAATGCATAATTTCCAAAGGTAAATCCACCAACGATTGCATAAAGCATAAATCTTAACGAACGCGGTTTTTGTAATAAGTTCATACGTCTATTAAAAAGCACACACAAGATGTAACAACCAAAAATACTGGCTGTTCTAAAAAAAGTGTCTAAAAGAAATTTGGGTGACTCCAGCATTTTTAATTCGCGTGCTATCCCATACATTTGAGCATTATCTGATAAAACGTATGATTCTAAAAGTTGTTTTCCTTCTGTTGTGTCCCAAACAACTGAAGCATCATTTAATCTTATTTGAAATTTATCAATCGATTCTGTATTGGTGTAAGTAAAATTTATGGGTAATCCAACTAATCCACCCTCTTTCCCAAATGGAGTTCCTATACTGTATATATCAAAACCGTAAACCATAAACGGTTTATATTGACAACGATCTTCTTTCGGAATCTTAATAATAAAAGGAATTATTAACTTAAAAAATAATTATTTATTTAATTACCCCAATTAAATCAATGGCTTTATTGAATTTCTTTTTTAAATCATCAGACACAAGAACCGATAATCCATTACTAAAATAAAATTTTAATTAATAAATTTAAGAGGTTATGTTGACATAACCTCAAATTTAACTCTTACTTGTATAGTTGAACGATCTCTTTGTATTTATTCAAAAATATCGTATTTGGCAAATAATTAATGCAGAATACACCGGTTCCAAGCGTTAAAGTTGTGTACATACAAAAAGAACGCCCCGAATCCGTTAATAAAAATTTTCCAAATCTAGATTGGGCCATTTTGATTTCGATTTACAAGTTAGATCAAATGTACCTTATGTAAATTAACCGATATTAAAAAATCTTTTTTATTACTTAATTAATTAATTTAATTATTATTGTTACCCCTTAATTAATAATAAAAATCATTTTAATCAAACGTATTTACATTAATACTTAAAAAAAAATTAGTTCACATTTTTGACATTTATTTCTCCTAAAATTAATCGACCTGTCAAACGTCATTTTCCTTTCTAAAATTTTATTGTCCTTTCATGTTTGTCTGTGCTTGTCAATACTCACTTTCTGAATTTTTAGTCGATAAAATGTAATTGAGAAGTGCGTATTTTAAAATTTTCCGTTCGTCTTGTGTTAGTTCTAGCATTGTCTTTAAATAGTATCGATAGTTGCGATTGGAGGTTAACCCTTTGTGTCCCAAGAAGTCAAACATTTTGAAACTTTGTGACAGAATCAGACAGAATTAAAACGCTATCAAAATATACTCAGTAAAGGCGTTTGGAATAAAATCTTAGCAAAATATGCAATCCCCCTATTTTCGCATAGTCTAAGTGTCAAAAAAGATGCTAATTCAAAAATTCCTGGAAACCGTGTTTATTGAAATTAAGAAATAAAACTTATTTTAAATTGAAGCTTGAAGCNATTAACCGATATTAAAAAATCTTTTTTATTACTTAATTAATTAATTTAATTATTATTGTTACCCCTTAATTAATAATAAAAATCATTTTAATCAAACATATTTACATTAATACTTAAAAAAAAATTAGTTCAAATTTTTGACATTTATTTCTCCTAAAATTAATCGACCTGTCAAACGTCATTTTCCTTTCTAGAATGTTATTGTCCTTTCATGTTTGTCAAAACTCACTTTCTGAATTAGTCGATAAAATGTAAATGAGAAGTGCGTATCTTAAAATTTTCCGTTCGTCTTGTGTTAGTTCTAGTGATACTGCAAATTAGAACTAACACTACACCGAAAACTAGAAACATTCGGGTTTAGCCGCATGTCTTTCAAGACGGCTAAACCCGAATGATTCTAGTTCAAGTGATAGTGCTAGTGCAATACTAGAACTAACACTAGACCGAGAACTAGAAACATTCGGATTTAGCCGCACGTCTCTCAAGATGGTTAAACCCGAACGACTCTAAGTCTTGTATTAGTTCTATAGTGCAATAAGAATATGGAACATAGTGATATCTTATGTTAACTAGCACTATATACCTATCACCATCACTAGAACTAATATTAGACCTAGAACTAGAAACATTTAGACATGTTACATTTTATGTGGGACAAAGTAAGTAGGTACATCCTGGTTTCTATGAAAATATATTTTTATATATTGCATTTTAAGTGAAATTCACTATACAGGTGTTCCGGTGACTCGGGGCATAAAATTAACCTCATATAGTAGAGCAAAAATGATGACGATTCGTGAAAAAAAATTATTATAAAAGTCTTCAAATGGTCAAGATATGGGCCATCAAAGTTCAAAAATTTTAACACATTTTTCTAAATATTTTCAATACCATTTATGGTAGAGCGTTGAAATTTGGTACAGGGTAAACAAATATCAAGCAAAATCATTGAACCAATTTTGACTTTGATCGGGCGGCGGCAACCATGCTATACAGGCTGTCCCTAAAATTTGTTTGCTCAGAACTTTTTTGTTCGCTCGTAACCCTACATTTATTTTTGTACTTTTTAATAGAAAATTTATTTTAGAAACTTTTATCACTCTTTGAAAATTTTGATAACATTGACCGTTTTCGAGTTATACGCGAAAATATTAAGCTTCGATTTCAATGGTAACACTAAAAAACAAAAATCTTCGAAAAAGTCAAGGTTGGCCATGGCAATTAAAAAAAACAAATTGAGCTGTCAACTTGCTTATGTCGTTTAAACACAAACGATAGTTTTTTGTTAGTTAAGTTTTTATTAATTTTAAGTGTTCAAAATGGAGAGTTACACATTTAGTGAACAAACTGACATGATTTTGACATTAGGGGAATGTCATGGAAACGCCGTAGCAGCCGCTAAGCGTTATCGGGAGAAATTTCCGAATCGCAGAGCGCCCAATCGAAAAACATTTTTAAGGATTGAAACCCGTTTAAGGGAAAATGGGACGTTTAAGCCGAAATTTACTAACAACAGTAACGTAAGATCAGTCCGAACACCCGAACTAGAAGAAGATATTCTAGACTACGTAGAAGAAAATACTACAGCTAGTACTTTGGATATGGCGAGGCACTTTTTAACTTCAAAAACAACTGTCTGGAGTGTTCTTCACGAGCAACAGCTTTATCCATTTCATTGTTACAAAGTTCAGGAAGTTCGACTGGCTGATTACCCACTGCGACTGCAATATTGCCAAATAATGCAGCACAAAATCCAAATTGATGATCAGTTTTAAGAAAAAGTGCTTTTTACAGATGAATCCACTTTTTCTAAAGATAGAATCTTCAATTTGAGAAATTTACATAGTTGGGCGGACGAAAATCCAAGATTTAAGAAAACTTGGAAATCACAATGGAGATTTTCTCTTAACGTTTGGGCTGGCATTGTGGGCGATGTAATTATTGGACCCGTTTTCTTGCCATCAAGGCTGGATGGACATACATACAGGCGACATTTAGAGGAATTAGATGATTTTTTAGATGACGTTCCTTTAAACACAAGGCAAGCAATGTGGTATATGCATGATGGTGCTCCTGCGCATAGCACACAGGCTGTCCAAGAATTTCTGAGGGAACGTTTTCCGGGACGGTGGATTGGACGAGGAGTAGGTGCACCCATAAGTTGGCCCCCCGATCGCCGGATCTTACACCTGTAGATTTTTATTTATGGGAACGCGTTAAACCACTAGTTTACTGCGTTGAAATAACTTCAGTTGATCAACTGAGGTTGCAAATTGTTGATTCATTTGATCAACTTCGAACTGAGATCAATGTTCTCCGCAGAGTGCGCTTTAATTTAAGACGGCGATATCAGGCAGTGTTTTTGAACATCTGCTTTAGTATTTTTTTCTTCTTTTTTATTTATTACTATTTGTTTATAATTTTATTGTTCTTGTTAATATTTTTGTTAGAATTTTTGTTATGTTCTTGTTTGTTGTTACCGTGAAAATTAAATTTATTGTTTTGGAAATTACATTCTTTTATTCAACTAAAATAAATTAACACTGGATTTAACTAAATCTGCACTTAGAAATTTATGCAAATAATGGTTATTAGCTCAGTTCGTTTTTCAATTGTCATCGCCAACTCAGATCTTGCGGAATATGTTTCCTTTTTTTGTTTGTTACGATTGAAATCAAAGCTTAACATTTTCGCGTATAACTCGAAAACGGTCAATGTTATCAAAATTTTCAAAGAGTGATAAAAGTTTCTAAAATAAATTTTCTATTAAAAAGTACAAAAATAAATGTAGGGTTACGAGCGAACAAAAAAGTTCTGAGCAAACAAATTTTAGGGACAGCCTGTATAGCATGGTTGTCGCCGCCCAATCAAAGTGAAAATTAGTTTAATGATTTTGCTTGATATTTGTTTACCCTGTACCAAATTTCAACGCTCTACCATAAATGGTATTGAAAATATTTAGAAAAATGTGTTAAAATTTCTGAACTTTGATGGCCCATATCTTGGCCATTTGAAGACTTTTATAATAATTTTTTTTCACGAATCGTCATCATTTTTGCTCTAGTATATGAGGTTAATTTTATGCCCCGAGTCACCGGAACACCTGTATACAGGGATGTATCTGAATAACTGCAACAAACTTCAAGGGGTAATTCTTTAGTGAATTTTAAGGGTACTTTGATATATGAACCATAGGCGACTTCGGCCCCCCTAAGGAGCTACACCCCTCCAAAAATGGCGGAAAATTTTGGTTTAATTCCTTTTTCTCAAAAACCATAAACGCTAGGAAAATGAAATTTGGGGAATATGTTTAACTCATACTAGGGCACGTTTTGACCCTATTTGTACTTTCAACCTACCCTTCTAAACTACTAAACGTAACCACCCCCTTTACATTTTTGCAAACATTATTTTTATGCAGATGATAAATACATTGGAAAAATTTCAGTTAGATAGATAAAACAATTCTAAAACTTTTTTGTCTCTCTAAAATTTTTCCAAAAACGACTAATTTTTGAGAAAAAAAATAATAAAGCAAACATTGCCCGTTAAACAATCAAAAGTTGGAATGAATTTTTAATGAAAAAATCTTGGTAGGCTTTGCAATCTTTGTCAGAAATATTTTTGACGTTTAAATGTCAGTATTTTCGTACTATTATTATTGTTTTTCAAATTAATTTTTAAATAAAGTTCTATCGCATTTACGCTCGTTCACTCGACGTTTCAAAATTTTAAATAAAACAATAATAAAGTAAGAAAACCACTGACATTTAAACGTCAAAAATATTTCTGACAAAGATTGCAAAGCCTACTAAGATTTTTTCATTAAAAATTCATTCCAACTTTCGATTAACAACCCTACAGCTTAACAGTTAGTGTTTGCTTAATTATTTTTTTTCTCCGAAATTATTAAGTTTTAGAAGAACATTAGAGAGACAAAAAAGTTTTAGAATAGTTTTATCTATCTAACTGAAATTTTGACAATGTATTTATCATTTTCATTAAAAAATCTAGGCATAAATTGGACGAGGGTGGTTACGTTTAGTAGTTTAAAAGGGTAGGTTGAAAATACAAATAGGGCCAAAACGTGCCCTATTATGAGTTAAACATATTCCCCAAATTTTATTTTCCTAGCGTTTATGGTTTTTGAGAAAAAAAAATAAACCAAAATTTTCCGCCATTTTTGGAGGGACGTAGCTCCCCAGGGGGGCCGAAGTCGCCTATGGTGCATATATGAAAGTACCCTTAAAATTCACTAAAGAATCACCCCTTGAAGTTTGTTGCAGTCATTCAGATACACCCTGTATAATATCCATGTGTGGTTGAATCTTCAGCCACCGAGAAGGGCCACCCTCCACCGCTTAGCCAGCTCAGTTGGAGCAAAGTAATGCTTCCATCGTAACAAGACCTTTGCCAATAGTTGGTTAAAGGATGTTACACCAACACTTGTACAGGGTGTCTAAATTTCGATGGGTTTGCATGGTATCTCAGTTATTATGAAAGATAGAAAGTTGCAGCTTTCGCGAACCTAAGCTACTTTTTTGTGTAATTTACAAATTTTCATAGCGCTCTTCGTTTTTGATATACAGGGAGTGTTTCAAAATTTACGATTAACGTAAAAACGGGTTCTAATAGATTTTTTCACGTAGAAACCAATGGTGCACGTAGAATTTTTCTAGTCATCACGGTTTTTGAGTTATAAAGAGTTAAGTATGTTAGAAGTTGAGAATTCAGTATTTGAGTTGTGTTTATAACTCAAAAACCGTGATTACTAGAAAAATTCTACGTGCACCATTGGATTCCACGTGAAAAATCTATTAGAACCCGTTTTTTACTTTTTTATTAAGTTTCCGGAGAGCCGAGATACAGTGGTGTCTGAAAATCGTAAATTTCAAACACTCCCTGTATATCAAAAACGAAGAGGGATATGAAAATTTGGTTTGCGCCATTGTAAATTACACAAAAAAGTAGCTTAGTTTGGCGAAAGCTGCAACTTTCTATCTTTCATAATAACTGAGATACCATGCAAACCCATCGAAATTTGGACACCCTGTACACATAGAGGATCGAGAGCAAGTTCCTTATTACCAAATCCCCTTTATTCTATCATACAAGTTCCGTTCATCCACAATTCTATCAAAATAAAATTTTAATTAATAAATTTAAGAGGTTATATTCAAATTTCAATTTTTTATCTTTTATAATTGAACGATCTCTTTGTATTTATTCAAAAATATCGTATTTGGCAAATAATTAATGCAGAATACACCGGTTCCAAGCGTTAAAGAATCCGTTATAAAAATTTTCCAAATCTAGATTGGGCCATTTTGATTTCGATTAAGAATTTAGATCAAATGTACCTTAGGTATATTAACCGACATTAAAAAAAATCTTTTTTATTACTTAATTAATTAACCTAATTATTATTGTAACCCCTTAATTAATAATAAAAATAATTTTAATCAAACATATTTACATTAATACTTAAAACAAATTAGTTCAAATTTTTGACATTCACTTCTCCTAAAATTAATCGACCTGTCAAACGTCATTTTCCTTTCTAGAATTATCTCGTGTTTGTCAATACTCAATTTCCGAATTAGTCGATAAAATGTAATTGAGCAGTGCGTATCTTAAAATTTCCCGTTCGTCTAATTTATTTAAATGCGAATACCCCTTAAGTTCAAGATGTATCTTGTTAGCGGCATCGTATTTTTGCTGTTGGTAAGCCACATCACCACTGAAGATGAAGTTTTAAGCAGCCCCTTAACTCCTACGAGTACTAACCACTCGAATAGTTCAACGATAAAACAGGAAGATGCTTCAACCACTCCAAATTCAATTGGTAATATAACTCAAAATGTTAATAATGTGAGCACGAGTACAGTTTTAAATGATGTCTTAGTATCTAGTAGTACTGCGATGACTACTATAAGTGAAAAGAACGTTTCAAGTGAAGTTGGAAGTACAACGAATAATTATTTGAATGTTAGTTCAACGACGGCTTCGGCGGATCCGGTATTACCTGATAAAGGATCAGCGGAAGATGAACACAACAGCTCAATGGCAATATTTTTCGTGTTATGTGTATTAGCACTGGGAATATTATTGATACATTTAATGCTCCAAACCGGATTCCAATACGTCCCCGAAAGCATTGTAATTGTATTTTTGGGGGCATTAATCGGATTGACGATGAACGCTTTATCAAATCGCAACATAAGTAATTGGAGAAAAGAAGAAGCATTTTCACCAACAGCCTTTTTCTTGATTTTACTCCCCCCGATCATCTTCGAATCCGGCTATAATTTACATAAAGGAAATTTTTTCCAAAATATCGGCTCAATTTTGGTTTTTGCAATCCTCGGAACGACAATTTCCGCCTTTGTAATCGGATTTGGGATTTATTTTCTCGGTTTAGCCGACGTTGTTTATAAATTAAGTTTTGTTGAGTCGTTCGCTTTCGGTTCATTAATTTCTGCGGTCGATCCGGTCGCAACCGTTGCTATATTTCACGCATTAAACGTCGACCCAATTTTAAACATGCTCGTTTTCGGTGAAAGTATTTTAAATGACGCAATCGCAATCGTTTTAACAACGGCCGCTTTAGAATCGAATAATCCGTTTATATCGACGGGGGAAGCTATAGTTTTGGGGATAAATCGTTTTTGTTTGATGTTTTTTGCATCGGCGGGAATCGGGGTTGTTTTCGCATTAATTAGTGCCCTTCTTTTAAAACATGTTGATTTACGTAAAAATCCCTCCTTGGAATTTGGAATGATGCTAGTATTCACTTATGCCCCTTATGTTTTAGCTGAGGGTATTCATTTATCAGGGATTATGGCGATTTTATTTTGCGGAATCGTAATGTCTCATTACACCCATTTTAATTTATCAACTGTAACCCAAATAACGATGCAACAAACTCTTCGTACTTTATCTTTTATCGCGGAAACTTGCGTTTTTGCCTATTTAGGCTTAGCTTTGTTTAGCTTCAAACACCGCGTTGAACCGGCTTTGATTGTTTGGAGCGTAATACTTTGTTTAATTGGAAGAGCTTGTAACATATTCCCATTGGCTATTTTAGTCAATCGATTCCGTGAGCATCAAATCACCAAAAAAATGATGTTTATAATGTGGTTTAGTGGGCTACGAGGAGCGATCTCTTACGCTCTCTCGCTACATTTAAATTTTAGCGATGAAACTCGCCACGTTATAATTACAACGACTTTAATTATCGTTTTAATAACAACTTTGGTGTTTGGCGGGTCTACGATGCCGCTTTTACGATTTATGCAAGCGACCAAAAATCCAACAACGCGTCGATTAAGAAGGAAGAAGAAGGATCGGGAGGTTACTTTGAGTAAAACGCGAGAATGGGGACAAGCAATCGACTCTGAACATTTATCCGAAACTACTGAAGGCGAAATGGAGGTGTCTTTTGCATCGGCGAGAATTAAGGGATTCGTTAAATATGATTTGAAGTATTTTATTCCGTTTTTTACGAGGAGGTTTACACAACAGGTGAGATTTAAATTAAAAAAATTTTTTTTATTTTTGTGGTTATGTTTTGATTTGTTTGACATTTATTTGACATTAAATTGTTATTTATTTGTCCTGTTAGGTTAATGGAAAATTTAAGTTATCCTGTAATCTTTATTAAAAGGATTTAATTGTTGATTTATAACTCAAATTAAAGCTAAAATCATTAATTTTAAGATAAATAATAATAATGTGATGATTAATACTGAAATTTCCCCGAAAATAATATCGAAAAAAATTTGACATTTTGAGGTTATGTTTTGATTAAATCAATAAATGGGATTACCTATTTTTAGCTTATCTATATGGAATATTTCGTAACATTGACAAAACGTGTGTGCTGATAATGAAAAACTTATAAGTATATACAGGTGTCCCGCAACGATTGTACAATACTTCACTAGCGTATTCTCTGATCGAAAATAGACAAAAAAGTCTAAAAAACATAGGTCCGAAAATGGACCATTTTCGAGATATAAGATATAAGTTGACCTATTGCTAACATCATTAATTGTAACGATTTAGATGCAGCCCCAGAGATCTTTGATAGGAGAACTTGGGACCCTTGGGACTCTTTGTATGTCGAAATCCCACCGTAAGATGGCATTAGGATTAGGGTCTATATAAAGTCCCTAGATTTACAAAGTACCGCTGTTTGACAGCTTGTCACTGCATCTCACCACTTATTTACAAAAATATTGCCATTCCAAAGGCAACAACTTTGGAGTTGCAAAAATAGCAGTAAGAAGGGCTTTCGATTCTTCAAAATACCACGAGAAAACAGAAAGGAATTTTGGCGTAATGTTATCAATAGAACGACATAGTTTTAAATTTCCCGCTTGACTTTCGAGCCAAAATGGCGTCAAACCGCGGTACTTTGTAAATCTAGAGACTTAAACTAACAATTTTATTATTAATAGTGGGAATGATGAGAGACAGCAATAACAATTATTACCAGTATCATTCTTTTTAATTTAAAAAGTATAGATTCCAATTCGTGATATATTTTTAAATTTGCCGCTAACTTCTTCTTCTTCAAAAAGTTTTGGGTTGGTAATGGGATTTGAAAACGAGTCCTTCTTTTCCCAGCCGCGCTGCGTCTATTCGTTTATGTCTGGCGCGTTAAAATTTTATACCAATCTAATCACTAAGGCTTGCCCCGCGTATTAATTTATGCGACTAAGCTATATGTATGATTGCACAAACGCAACTAGCAACAGCCCCAGGAATTTTTGATAGGAGAACTTCGGACTGATTGTATGTCGAAATCCTACCGTAAGATGGCATTAGCGTGTATACTGAAATAATTTAATTAAACTAACAATTTTATTATTAATAGTGGGTATGATGAGAGACAGCAATAACAATTATTACCAGTATCATTCTTTTAATTTAAAAAATATAGATTCCAATTGGTGTTATATTTTTAAATTTGCCGCTAACTTCAACTTTTAAAATTTTAAAAGTTGAAGTTTGTTCAGAATGACAGATGAAAACGTCATTTTAAAGTGATTTTTCGGTAAGAGTATAATAAAGTAATAACGGTATGATTAAATAATTAGATTATAATAATTATAATCTAATTATTTAAAGTTAACAAAGCTATAATGTTAATTATTAACATTATAGCTTTGTTTCAACTAACGTTATAACTGGTTGGAACCTCGTCAGATGCAATCTCATATGTCATATGATGCAGTGATATTCAAATGTGGCGGCATTATTTGACAGGTGTAATTGCCATAGGTAATTGCATCTGAGAAATTCCCAACCAGTCGGAACGTTAATTGGAGCCAATAGTGACTCCAAACTGTTATTCTATGGTTGGAGCTTTTATATATAAACCCAATCTAACCTGTATTCTAGTAGTTGGGTTCTTAGCTGAATAATTCCAAAATATTCCCAACAGATGGCGCCACATGCGTTCAATTTTTTTTTTTTGTGCGAAGTTTTTCTTTAGTGAGTTGCATTTCTACAAAACTATTTTCTATATTTAGATGCAGTAATTATATGATTACCATGATTACGATGGTTAAAATAAAGTTTAATAAATAATAAGTTAATTAATACAGTTCATTAATAATTTAACAAAACAAGTAACAAAGATTGTCGAAGAAAATCTTTCAACCAGCATAAAAACAACGAATATTTAACAAATTGGAAAAGAATCATGTCATAATAAATATTCAAAATACGCACCATTTACTTCTAAACACAAACGGATACGTTTTTTAAATGAACTTCTAATGCGTTGAAAGATACCGGGAATTTGTTTTACTGCGTCAAATGCATTACTAATTTTATTTTTCAAATCCTGCAAATGTTGAACGTCTTCAGAATTATTTGTTTTAAATGTCCCCAAAACCAAAAATTTAACGGAGTTAAATCTGGTGAACGACGTGACCACGGGACAGGACCTCCTCGGCCAATCCACGTATTGCCAAATCTGTTATTTAAGTATGCTCGAGTAGCGCGTGCATAATGTGCTGGTGCTCCATCGTGCATAAAGTAGCAATCTTCTAGAATTTGTTGAGGTAATTCATCAAATGCCTCTGTAAGGTCATTTTGTAAAAAATGTATGTAGGCATCGGCTGTCAATCTCTTTGGAAGAAAAAATGGACCTAATAACTGATCACCTATAACTCCANGGAAAGGACACAGAGACAACTATTATAGACGAGCGGGCTACTCGGTAACGGAGATAAATAGTAGACGAAGGGTGGGTAGGGAGATGTGGAGGGAGTTGAGAGACAGGGACCGAGATGTGCAGAGACAGGAAAGAAGGACACAAATAAAAGAGGGAAGGTATAACGAAAGATACAGGGACATAATTACGGAGGGGCTGCCTAGATACTTGTTATTGGAAAGAGATGAGGAAGGGAAAAAGTTGGTGGCTAGGTTCCGTTGTGGAAACGAGGAGAGAGCCAACAAATACTGGATGGCCGATGAGGAGAGGTGGTGTAGGCTGTGCAGGGAGGAATGGGAAACGTTAGAACACATGCTGAATGGGTGCAGTGAGTTGAGGGAGGAGGAGATGGACCGAAGGCAGATCTTAGGAGAGGGGGGAGAGGGGAAACGATGGATGAGAATGGTGATGGGGGTGAGGAGACAAAGGGATGGGTGAGGGGATGATTGGGCCGAGGAGCCGAGGGCGTGGAAATGGAGGAAGAGGGTAGAGAGTGAAAGTAATATTTGAATAATGTAAAGAATTGTAAACAATTACTGTATACAATAAACTCTTAAAAAAGAACTGATCACCTATAACTCCAGCTCATACATTAGCAGTGAATCGCCACTGACGATGAGTTTCTAGTATTGCATTATTATATATTGCAGTATTGCAAAATTCCGCTTTGAGTAAATGTTGCTTCATCCGTAACTCCAATGTTTATGGGAAAGTCGACGTTTACTACCTCTTCCTGTATGGCCCATCTACAAAAAATCTCACTTTTTTCGACATCATGTTCAGTTAAAGCTTACAGTGTTGTAATGATAAGGATAAAGCAACTGCTCCCTTAAAATGAGGTGAACGGTTGTTTTCTTGTGTTTTGTGACTCTTCTCAAAACTGCTTCTTCTAATTTCACCGGCCTTGTGTAATGTCTCTCCGTGGAATGGCTGTGGGTTACGCTTCTAGTTTCTTTTAATCTGAGAAATGTCTGCTAAAGGTGACTATTAGGCAATCGTCTGTTCGGAAACTTTTGCGCGTAATGACGACGCATTTCCATCGGCTAGTCCCTAACAATACACCAGATCCGCCATCTCTTCCTTGGAGTAATTAATAGGAGCCATACTTAATAGTTTTATTAAATTAAATAGTAAAATAATAATTTCGCAAAGAATTTTTTTGATTACACAACTTATCCTAATCATAGCAACCACTTAATTATTATAAAAACACTAAACTTCATGGTGTTAACAATATCAACTTATGAAACTAAATCTTTGAATATCTCGAAAAAGGTCCATTTTCGGTCCTATGTTTATTAGGATTTTTTTTGTTTATTTTCGATCAGAGAATACGTTGTACAATCATGCACTGACACGCACGTCTCTCAAAACGGCTAAACCCGAATAATTCTAATTGTATGCCTTGCGTTAGCTCTACTGATAGATTATTTGAACCGGAAGGAAATGTCTCTGTGAAAGTTTGGTCCTCTCACTTTTGTCTGTAAATACAGTTTTTTACAATAAATGCGCATTTTGTCAATGTTTAAGCTTTAAGCTATGGTATGGTGGAAGAACAACACAAGTTGAACCATGCCATAAGATTGTTCCCATGTATTGTTTTTTTTTCTTCTATTATTTTCTTTTACAATGATTTTCTGTGTATGACTTTATGTTTTGAGAACAATAAAGCAACTTATTGTTATTATTATTATAAAATAATTTTGTTTTATCAGGAACTGAAAGACTGTAAGAGCCAAATGACCGATTTAACGAACCAATGGTACCAAGCAATTCGTATATCACCCTTGGAATCCGATGAGGAAGCTATTAATACTCCAAGATCGAGTATATCTAGTATAGTTCGCTGACCAATGGAGAGAGGAGGAGCTGGAGAATTGGATGAATTGTCGAATTTGATACGGAGGGCCTAGTATCGGCCTTCAATTCTGACAACACTTGATGAATCCGACATTTACTTATCGTTCTATTAAGAAATTATAAGGCACGGTAACTAACCACTTTTTTAGGGAGTTACGTAAATTGTTATATAAACGTCTATTAACAACTATTTAAAAAATATATTTAAAAAGAAATTATACAAAATTTATATGTATTAAATCAAAGATGTTGTACTATTCCTATATTATTTAGATAAAAAATAGATAATGTACTTATAATAATGGAAGTAATTAATGTTGTTAAACTTAATTTATTTTTATTTATTTTTAATTTTTAAAAATGTGATTGCGATGGTAAATTTAGCGTGCCAAGTTGCTTTCTCGAACTATTAGCTGACTTAAGAATGAAATGTTATTTTTTTACCGTACTAATTAGTGTAGATGTAATCAATTTTTAATTCATCCAACAATTTAAGCACAATTTGATTTTTTTAATCGGGTAATTTTGTGATAATTGTACATTTTAAAGGTTTGTTCTAATTGTTTTGTGATATGCAACTAAGTCAGTATTTATGGTCTTACTTAAACTTGTAAGGAATAAATAAAAGCACATACAAAGCACTTTTGTAATTTTCAAATTTAAATTTACCGCCATTAAATTAACACCAACCTAATATCCTAATTTAATTAAAATTTTACTATTTAATTAGAATTAATGAAATAATTTCATTGTAATTAATTAATTAAATAAAAAAGTTTACGTTATTAAAAAATTCTTTGAAATTGAATTGAAGAAGATACCAACCTTAAAAAAAACCTTTATAGAATCTCATAAAATCCAAATTATAATCGCATCTATATTTTTGAGGATGGATAGTGAAAAAAGGAATAAATACCTAAATCGTAGGAAGAGAAAGGAGGAAAAACGGCTACAAGAAAAAACTGTAAATGAAAACGTTAAAACACCTTCAGAAAATCAACATATTGTGGAAATAAAAAGTGAGGTTATGTCAAGTCAACTAATAAATAGAAACGGAAAGTGGATAGTCGAATATTATTCTAAAAAAATATGAGTAAATTATTTAAGAAATGGTAATACTAATAGTTCCTAAATCTGTTATTTATTAAAATAAATAAAAAAAATCTTTTGAGGTATGTTAACCCTTTTTCTTTGACAGTTTTAAGTAGAGCCATCTATGAGTATAATTTTTGGCCCGATTAAATCAAAAATTCAAGAATTGGAAGAGAATTAAGCAATTTCAACTAAAACTAATGGGAATCATTTCATCGTTGTTGCTGCATTAAATAGATTGCAAATAATACTAAATTAAAGAATCGTATGAAAGCTTTAAGACAACGATATTAGTTGTTACAAACAAAATTTTAAACATGTACTCACCATAAATTCAGCAAAAACAATTTAAATTGCTTACTAAATTTCTTTTTGATGCCATAACTTCACCATTCGTAAACATTTCCCAAATCTCTCAAAAACTGCTAAAATAAAAATGAGGTTAGATTTGAAATAAATATCAAATTAATAATAAACTTTAAAATACCTCATTTAAAAATTTGTTTTTAATTACCGTTAGATACGCATATTTACAAACAAGATTATTATTTATTTTTTATAATAAATAAAGAAATAAATTAATAAGGACTGTTGAAAGTATAAATTGAAGTGCGACACCTTTTAATCAAATGCGGAACTAAAAAGAACTTTTTAATTTGAATAAATTTTTTAAATTCTAAAAGGAAAAAAATTATTGGAAAAAGTATTAATTAAAAAAGTAAATAAAATTTAAATTATAATATTGATAAATGTAAGTTAAACATCAATTAATATATTTAATTATTATACATTTAAATTAGCCGCCATACAACTGTCACCAACTTATTTTATTTTAATTTCCCAATCCCAATTTAAAAAGAAAATAACTAACCTTGACCCTTTTTTGTTATTTATCATTCTTTAATAAAATTCAAATTTTCCTTATTCCGCCCAGTTTAATAAAAATTTACATTTTAATTAACAAAATAAAACCTAATGTTTACTTATTTAGGAAAATTTTAATTTTCATTCCCCAAGAAGTATTGCCAACCCATTGTTTAGTGTTTTGCAGTGTTTTGGTTTTGGTTAATTCTTTATAAATCGCATCAAAAAAAGGTGATCCGCGACGATTTTAAGCACCGAAGGACCGAATAGTAATGTTCGGGGCGTTTGTGATCATATCACTATCATTTAAAAGTACGCCCTCCGCGGCCCTATAATGGACCCTGATAATGCCAAACAGAACGATGCGGAACTAAACCTGCAGATTAGTCTCGATATGGGGGACGATATCAAATTGGACGAGGTGAATTACGAAAGCGACTTATCATCGAGCAGTTCCGAAAGTTCAAGCGCACCTAGTATTAGTTCCGTTAGTTCAGCTTCTTCGGCTAAAGGACGTAGATCGAGACATAAAAGAGGACACGAAAAGGATAAGAGTCCTTCTCCTGACGCTAAAAGACCTAGATCTAAGGATCCTAAAGGAAAATCTTATGATTATTTATCAAAACTTAATTATTTATTCAGAGACGCAAGGTTAGATCGATTAAAAAAAATAAAGTAAGGTTATGTTATAATAAAATTAATTTTCAGGTTCTTTGTGATTAAATCAAACAACGCGGAGAATGTTACTTTATCGAAGGCAAAAGGTGTTTGGTCAACTTTACCTCAAAATGAAGCCAATTTAAACCAAGCTTATCGTGAATCAAGAAACGTTTTATTAATATTTTCTGTAAAAGAAAGTGGGAAATTTGCCGGATTTGCTCGATTACACGGTGAATCCCGACACGATGTCCCTGCGATCTCGTGGGTGTTACCTCCAGGTCTTTCAGCAAAAGCTTTAGGAGGTGTTTTTAAAGTGGACTGGATATGTCGTAAAGAACTACCTTTTAGTAGCACCATGCATCTTTATAACCCTTGGAACGAAGGAAAACCCGTCAAAATCGGCCGAGACGGTCAAGAAATCGAACCGCGCGTTGCCGAAGAACTTTGTCGATTATTCCCCGAAGATGACGGCATCGAAATCACCCCAATTTTACGATTAGCTAAAGAAGCAGCAAAGAAAAACGGGATAAGAGGACGAAACGACGGACATCGCCATCCCAAGGCTCGAATGCCTATAGCGGCTCGTAGTTCATTTTTTAGAGGTAGAGGATCGTCATATTCGCGTCGAAAATTCTTTTTGAACTCGCGTGGGTTAACATCGTCCAGTTCCGCTTATCGGCGGTCTGTATCGCCGCGAAGAGATCGTTTTTCGTTGTTTTATGACCGCGATTCACCTCGTCCGTACACGGCAGCGGCCGCTGAGGCTTACGTAGCGGATTACATGCGTACAATGCAACACCAATTGCCACCATTACCGTATGTTCCACCCCCGGGGTTGTATTCGAGTCCTTACGACGCTTTACCTCCACCGAGATATTACGATGGACTTCCACTTCCGGATTATCCAACTTCTCGATTAAGTTCTTATTCGGATAAACGATCTTATGATCGTTCTGTAGATGAGTTCCTATGGAGGACGAGTGATAGGGCTAGAGAAAGGGATAGGGAAAGTCGTCATAGGTACAGAGATAGACTTTAAAGGGATTTCGTTTGTTTATAACATTTTTAAGCAATTATCAATGTAAGTGAGGCAAATTGGATTTGTTTATATCGATTATTTCTCTTAGGTTAGGTTTATAAACGTCAAAATTAAACCTTAAAAATGTTAATTTTGATAATTGTTTAAAGAAAACGTGAATTAAACGAATGTAAACGCACTTTTTGAATAATGAGGATGGTGAAGATTAAAACGACTGGGTTCTTTGTATATAATAATTTTCTGTTTATTAACGCAAAGATCAAGTTATTTTTTGGTTGGAATAGTTTCTTTTTTGTTCCGCAACGAAAAAGTCGTTTTCTTATTTTATTTTTATTTCGTAGAATAATAATTTTATTAGTAATAATAAATATTTATAAGGACTTATTTGTACATTTATCGTAATTAATCAATAATAATTATAAATTTGAGTCAATAAAATTTTTTTGGTTCAAAAAGTTATTAGGGATGTTTAAAACTTTTCCTATCGTTCGCTAGATGTCGTTAATTTCATTGAAAAATTTTCCCTTCCCGCTATTCACCCAGCTTCCGCTATACCAAGGTCCGTTTTTCCAACTCGAACAACTTGACGTTGGCGGGGTGAGGTGGGAAACGTGACGTCATTGGAGGAAAAATACAGGTGTCCCACCTAAGTTGCCTCGGTCCATAGCCGAATTATGATTGAGTTTTTCAAAAAATGTTCCAGATAAAAGTTGAATCGAATCATATTGTACATATTTTAAAATTAGTTTCAGTAATGGCGGACTTCCGCTTCTACCGGAAATGGATATCAACTTTGTTATTTTAAATGGAACAGCCTGTATATTATTGCATTTTTGGATTCTTTGTGAAATTTCAATGGTACTTTGTTAAGGATACCTTAGGTCTAACTGGTATCGTTTTTGAATTATATGACGATTTTCGAAAAAAATGACATTTGCAGC